TCTGCCCACATGTACCCATATAGACCGGTAGCCTAATAACAACATCACAGTAAGTTTAAGAATAAAGTTTTATTTTTTTGTCTTGGTACTCGAGTACAAATTTACAGACAATCAAAGAGGATGACTATACAGGATAGAATTCACCTCAAAAAACAAGAGAAGATTTACCAACAATGGGTATGTCTGTGTCTCCAAAGATCCAACCCAGGTTGGCAATAAGAATTAAGAGTTGGTTTTATACCCTCCAATACCCCATTAATAAATAGAACATAAACGCCCACTTGTGTATATCCCAGCATACGCAGCGTGATTCAGTGTAGGGTGAGGAAAGGTACGTTGTGGATTGTCTTCTACGAAGGTCTTCCAAGGTTGCCAGATCTCCAGATTTTCTCAAATGCGTCCGATAATAAATGAACAGTTCATTCATTGATATATATTTCAGCAGCAATATGTATTTCAGCTTTATATTTATTTTTGAAAGCTTGTAAAAATAAAATTTCATACTGTTTTTCTAAAAAAATCTCTTTTGAATTGTTGAAATTTATCATACAAGTAAATTGTGCCGTTAAAGTCCCACCAAAAATGAGGACTCCCCCCCTGTATTCATTAGGGATGTTGGCACTTTGTGTATTATATCCCTTCCTTTCTGATCTCTGTTTCTGAGGAACCACTTACATATTTTAGGAGTTACTTGTCAATATACCACCCGGAGGACAATCGTAAAACAAACAGCAGACACATCCCGAACCAGAAATCCCAGGTCACTAACACCTGACCACAGGGAAATAGGCAATGCCATACCAAAGACGAGTCCCCAGTCATTTCACGCCAGCACCAATGGGACCGCCATTAAGACACATTAAGACACAAGCAGCAGACACATCCCGAACCATAAATCCCAGGTCACTAACACCTGACCATAGTGAAATAGGCAACGCCATACCAAAGACGAGTGTCCCCAGTCATTTCACACCAGCACCAATGGGACCGCCATTAAGACACATTAAGACACAAGCAGCAGACACATCCCGAACCATAAATCCCAGGTCACTAACACCTGACCACAGGGAAATAGGCAACGCCATACCAAAGACGAGTGCCCAGTCATTTCACGCTGGCACCAACGGGACCGCCATTAAGACACAAAGAGCAGACACATCCCGAACCATAAATCCCAGGTCACTAACACCTGACCACTGGGGAATAGGAAATGCTATACCAAAGACGAGTCCCCAGTCATTTCACGCCAGCACCAAAGGGACCGCCATTAAGACACATTAAGACACAAGCAGCAGACAAATCCCGAACCATAAATCCCAGGTCACTAACACCTGACCATAGTGAAATAGGCAACGCCATACCAAAGACGAGTCCCCAGTTATATCACGCTAGCACCAATGGGACCGCCATTAAGACACAAGCAGCAGACAAATCCCGAACCATAAATCCCAGGTCACTAACACCTGACCACAGGGAAATAGGCAACGCCATACCAAAGACGAGTCCCCAGTCATTTCACGCCAGCACCAATGGGACCGCCATTAAGACCCGAAACTGGTCACCTTATGCTGCGATTTCCATAAAATCAATAGTTCAACAAGCACAAATAAGTTCGTTTACCATGTGCCAATCTCCAACTGAGCTTGCCATACCCTCACACCATCTCCTTCTAACACTTACCATCATCCAGTCAGGTAAGCATCCTACTCTAAGCTTCTAATATTTGACTTCTTGTCCCCCCCGTTTTCCCTATTCACCCTGTCTTGTATTCCCTGTTCTTTTTTTCCTTTGTTTTCTTTTGCTCTGGTCCTATCTCAATCAAACTCATGCATTTGGGTGCGGCGAACTGCGTTTGACCTGCTTTTGCTAACAACATAAATTGATCTCCGTAGGACTGGCTGTGTCCAAACAAACGCAAAATAGGTCAAATGCAGCTTCAGAATGGCCATCCACACTACACAATTAAAGTCAATAAAATCAGCAGATTTGAGATTGAAGCGTGTTTACAAAGCAGGTCGAATGCAGAAAATGAGAGAACATATAGCAATACTAGTGTAGCCCGACATTATATAACGATCAATAAAGTTTGTGTCAATAAATAATAAAGTCCATATTCAAGCTTCCATCACCATCGTGCCGTAAATCTTCAACAGTATAAAAAGGCAAGTAGTGCCGAATGTGCCTCCAACACCAGTAACATGAAGCGGCTCACCTCTCAATTTGACCTCAAAAAGGTCAAGAAGAGTTAAATCCCCTTCGGGGGTTAAATGCCAAGACGGTATGTGACCTTCCAACTCCTCCAAATTGTCAGAACTGTTCTCAATCATATAGGACATGCAGAAGCAAAAAGAAAACTAAGAGTGCTCTCTGTATATAATATTTATTAAGAATCAAGGGATAAAATGCACTCACAATATAAAAAAGCACTTCTGTGCTATCACCAGCTAATATCTCACAGAGAAACTCAGTACTTGGCTAGACAGTCCAGCAAACCACAGTAAAAACGAATGACCTCATGATTTGGCTCCGCCCCGTACACGTTGCGTTCATGAGAAAGACTTCCTCAGCCTGTCTATATAGGATATAAAGATACTGTAAACACTTTTCTCCTGTGCTGGGAATAGACTCAGTAGAGACAATGTGAATGTTCTGGAATATGCACTGCTTGCTGCCCTCAACAGACCGGGGTGGTCCAAAGGCACTAAATGCGAATGAAAAAAACTAAAAGAGGGCGCACCGGCCTAGTGCATTATCATTTAAATATATTTATTGAGAGAATAAAAAAGTAGGTATCATACTCACAATGGACATATAAAACACAGACATATCACAATGAACAAGGTGTTCAATCCAAATAGCATCTGAGTCCTGGATAACCAACTGGCTGGCGCGTTTCCAGGACTCAGCCTCTTCCTCAGAGGCTCTGAGGAAGAGGCTGAGTCCTCAAAACGTGTCAGAGGGTTGGTCATCCAGGGTTCCATCGTATGGACTCAGATGCTATTTGGATTGAACACCTTGTTCATTGTGATATGCCTGTGTTTTATGTGTCCATTGTGAGTATGATACTTACTTTTTTATTCTCTCAATAAATATTTTTAAACGATAATGCACTAGGCCGGTGCGCCCTCTTTTTGTTGTTTTTCAGTTGCATAAAAATACCCGTGCCCAATATGCTTAACCAAAAAAATTGCATCCTCAGAACCCGAGAGACCGAGTTGATCCTTGGTATGCCAAATAAAAACTCTATAAAGCATGGTCCAATGGTTTCCAACATAGAAAATTATCCCAAAGGGAGTTAGATACATCCTGGATGAACATTCCAGGCCCAGTGGTGTTCGGCGATGGCCATAGCAGCACCCCCCCCAATTGATGGTACTCATTGCAAACCCCCTAGGTACACCACTGGATTGGCTATCACATTTTATCTTTCAATTCATCAAACAACAAAATGGCTCCCAGCAAAGAGGAGGGCTGGACTTGTGGGGCATCATATCAAATTCAGCTATAAAGGTAGGGTTTGAGCGCAATGGGTCTCAGGTGCAGGGGCGGACTGGCAACTCATGGGGCCCCCAGGCAATAGGAGATCATGGGGCCCCTGTGTCCTTGCCCACACTCAAAGCACACCCAAAAAAGCCTATAAAAGGTACCAGGGGCATTTCATGGGGCCCCCTACTGACCCCGGGCCCTCAGGCAGTGCCCGAGTTTCTCAAATGGTCAGTCCACCCCTGCTCAGGTGTGTCATTTTTTTAAATTTGGGAGGCGATGTAGAGATCACATGAGCCCTCCATCAATCTTTCAAGTGCCGCAGATTGCCAGTTGCTAACAATTAGACATACAGATATCAGGATTGCACTTTTTCCAGAGTAGTATCTGTTTATACAAGTATGCCTACGGTTTTTTTTTCACCATTTTTAAAAGGCCAAAAAGAATCAAACTGAAATTTCATTTTACTAAATACACATTTTTAAAAATTCATAGGCACGCACAGGCCCCTTGGCAGACATTTTTGCGCCAATTAAGATACTATGCGAGCAGTCCCGTACTGATTAGGAATAATTGGGCCAAAAATTACATATTTTCTAATTTGTAGATTTTTAGGCATATTCCAAAAAGGCAGCACAATTAAGACTAAACTCTAGACAGCATCTGAATACACATCTCAATTACTGGTTTGTCATCGGTATTACTCAGCAAAAGAGTAGCAGTTTTGCAAACCAGGCACCCCTGCCAGAGTACAAAGCCAGATCTATTGCATAACTTTTCTTTACTGCAGTTAAAGTCATCAAATATTGTACAGTAATCCAAATTGTTTTCTAAGGCTCTAGTATCTTTCTTTTCTTTTTAAACAATATGTATACTGTGTTTTGATTGTTTGTTACACCAGCGGTTCTCAACCTGTGGGTCGCGACCCCTTTGAGGGTCGAACAACCCTTTCACAGGGGTCGCCTAAGACCATGATGGTCTTAGGAACCGAGACACCGCTCCTCTATCTGTCTCCTGGCGGGGTCGCCCACATGCAGATACGCCCACATACGAGTACCCGGCGTGATGACATCATCACGCCAACCCCATCACATACACCCCGTACAAATACAGGTGTATGTGACAGGGTCGGCGCCATAATGTACTTATGTGGACCAGTCACACATGTGTAAAGAGCAGCTACTGTGTAGAAAGCAGCTACTGTGTTGAAAGCAGCTATTCTGTTAAAAGCTGCTACTGTGTAGAAAGCAGCTATTTTGTTAAAAGCTGCTACTGTGTTGAAAGCAGCTACTGTGTAGAAAGCAGCTACTGTGTTGAAAGCAGCTACTGTGTAGAAAGCAGCTACTCTGTTAAAAGCAGCTACTGTGTTGAAAGCAGCTACTGTGTTGAAAGCAGCAGTATTGGAGGTAAAACAACGCTTCATGAATTATAATTACATTACGATTCCTAATAGTAGCAAAATTACAGTTATGAAGTAGCAACGAAAATAATTTTATGGTTGGGGGTCATCACAACATGAGCAACTGTATTAAAGGGTCGCGGCATTAGGAAGGTTGAGAACCACTGTGTTACACGGCCAGGTGACCTCACAGCAGGGGCGGACTGACCATTTGGAAACTCGGGCGCTGCCCGAGGGCCCGGGGTCAGTAGGGGGCCCCATGAGATGCCCCTGGTACCTTTTTCATAGGCTTTTTTGAGTTTGGGCAAGGACACAGGGGCCCCATGATTCCCTATTGCCTGGGGGCCCCATGAGTTGTCAGTCCACCCCTGCCTCACAGCCTCCCTTCCCGCCCATCGTCTGAGCTCAGTGGGTGTGTCTCTATTGCCTGAGGGCAGTCTGTCTGATGATGTCAGACACGTCTGAGAAGTATGTTCCCTTTCTGTGTACACTGCTTTTCAAAAGTCTTCCCCCCCCCAAGTCAATCAAGAGAAGGGATGGGCATGGAAGCAAAGCGGACTCCAGTAGTACAAGCATGCTGTGTGTCGATGCAGTGTCCTGTAGCATCAGGCATACAAACTGACCACATCAGAATGGATCTGCTTCCATGCCTGGTGTGGTCAGGATTACAGGAAGACAAGGGAACTGGTAAGATCATCGAGTAATTCCTAGTGAATGGGACTGCTGTGACATAACTAGCAGTACACCACAGACATTTATTTCAGGTACTTATATAGCTCTGTCAATTTACACAGCAGTTTACATATATATTGTACATTCACATCAGTCCCTATCCCTCAAGGGACACACAATCTAAGGTCCCTAACTTACATTCATACATACTAGGGTCAATTTGAACAGGAATCAATTAACCTACCAGCATGTCTTTGAAGTGTGCGAAGAAACCAGAGTACCCGGAGGAAACCCATGCAGTCACAGGGAGAACATGCAAACTCCAGGCAGGTGGTGCCATGGTTGGGATTCAAACCAATGACCCTAGTACTGCCAGGCAGAAGTGCTAATCATTTAGCCACTTTTGTATTTGTTCAATATCCTTTTTATTATTAAATATACTTTGAGAAACTAAGACAGCCCCACCAGGTCTCAGACCTCCAAAAGCAATTAGGCAGTGTAGCTTGATCAAGGACTCGTCTCCAACCTTCTGGCTGGACAAGGAGCAGTATCACATGGGTGTTGAAGAGATAGGGGTAGAGCAGCCTTTCTCAACCTTTTTACACTAGAGGGAATACTAAAATAATTTTCAAATCTCAGGGAACCTATACTTCAACCAATTCATTGGGGGCCAATGGCAAAATTCCAACTATGCAAGCATCATCAAATGGAAGGCTCAGTCACCTACAGCTCAAGGAGCCCCTGTGGAGGAACTCTGGCTGAGAATAGCTAGGGTACAAAACACAGTTGGATTGATCTGCACAACTTTCCCAGCTAGGGTTCTGTGGAATCCTAAAATTCCTCCAGAGCTTACCTGAGGTTCCCCAGGAGCAATTTCTGCTTCTCAAATAAGTTTCCATTGATACCAATGATCTTTTTTAACTAACTGTAAAGGAAGGGGGGGGGGAGTTAATCCCAATGACCACAAATGTAAGGAACATTCTTTTCCTTGGCCATCCCACTAATGTACCATGAGCTGTAGATATGTCATTATTAGTAGAGATGAGCGAATTATTCAAAAATTCGGTTCGGCTGATTCGCCAAATTCGCCGAATAAATTCGCTTCGAGCCGAATATATTCGCTGCGAATTTAACTTATAAAAAGGGTGTTTCTAGGCTTCAGAGAGCCTTTATATTAGTGCAGAACACTGTACCTTTAATTTAAATGCCCTTGGAGTCTGCTGGGGAAGAGAAATAATACTGTCAGTCAGTATGACATGCAGATGAGTGCCGTCGATCTTAGAATCACCGCACACTTCACTCATTTGGGCAGTCACGGGGCCAAAACCAGAGTGTGGAGCCACAGTGTGGCGGTGGAGGCAGCAGCAATGGGAGGCCATACAGCACCCTATGACAAAATGGAACCCACCAGCAGTGTGAGGAGACCTGAAAGTGGCACATGGCAGAGTGTGGCGATGGAGACAGCAGCAATGGGAGGCCGTACAGGGACCCATGACACACTCTGGACCTGGCAGCAGCATGAGGAGGCGGTACAGGGGCCCATGACAGATTACGGGCCTGGCAGCAGCATGAGGAGTCGGTACGGGGGCCCATGGCAGATTACGGGCCTGGCAGCAGCATGAGGAGGCGGTACAGGGGCCCATGGCAGAGTGGCGGAGCGTAAGCAGCTAAAATTGAAGGCCATACAGAGGCCTATGTTAAAAAGTCCCCCCAGCAGCAGCGTGGGGAGACGACTATCAAGAGTCCAATGGCAGAGTGGCGGAGCAGAAGCAGCTTCAATTGAAGGCCATACACAGGCCTAGGTTTAAAAGTCCCTCACAGTTAATTCCAATAACGAACTCTACTCCTCCGTGCAATCTACTTACGAGACCCTGGGCAGGTCTGGGTCCAATTTGTGGTAGAGACTGGTTTTGTTCAGCCATGCTTGAGCGAGTAATAACAGGTCTGTGCTGCCCTTTGGTGTCTGGCTTAATGCGCACAACACTGAACGTCCCAGCGTTTGTCAACGATTTGCCGTTAAGTGATGCAAACCCGCTGAACCACGTTCATGAGGAGCCGGTACAGGGGGCCATGAATCAGTATGGACCTGGCAGCAGCGTGAGCAGCCGACAGAGGCACATGGCGCAGGGTGGCGGTGGAGGCAGCATTATTCTGAAGCCATACACAGGCCTAGGTTAAAAAGCGGAAGCCGTCAGCAGCGTGAGCAGCCGACAGAGGCACATGGCGCAGGGTGGCGGTGGAGGCAGCAGCAATGGAAGGCCATACAGCACCCTATCACAAAATGGAACCCACCAACAGTGTAAGGAGACCTGAAAGTGGCACATGGCAGAGTCTGGCGATGAAGTCAGCAGCAATGGGAGGCCGTACAGGGACCCATGACACACTCTGGACCTGGCAGCAGCAAGAGGAGGCGGTACAGGGGCCCATGGCAGAGTGGCGAAGCGTAAGCAGCTTAAATTGAAGGCCATACAGAGGCCTATGTTAAAAAGTCCCCCCAGCAGCAGTGTGGGGAGACGACTATCAAGAGTCCAATGGCAGAGTGGCGATCCGGGAAGTCAGCGTTGTGATTGCAGATGCAATGCAGAGATTCTATGAGGTGATGCCGTGGGTGCGAAGAAGATCATATACCGTCGTACTTCCATCCATAAGACGGAACAACCTGCGAACCGGGAGCTTTATTGCCCTGACCCGCTGAGCAGCTTCTGGGATACCCAAGAGGCCCATGGCAGAGTGGCGGAGCGTAAGCAGCTTCAATTAAAGGCCATACAGAGGCCTATGTTAAAAAGTCCCCCCAGCAGCAGCGTGGGGAGACGACTATCAAGAGTCCAATGGCAGAGTGGCAGAGCGGAAGCAGCTTCAATTGAAGGCCATACACAGGCCTAGGTTAAAAAGTCCCCCCAGCAGCAGTGTGGGGAGACGACTATCAAGAGTCCAATGGCTGAGTGGCGATCCGGGAAGTCAGCGTTGTGATTGCAGATGCAATGCAGAAATTTTATGAGGTAATGCCGTGGGTGCGAAGAAGATCATATACCGTCGTACTTCCATCCATAAGACGGAACAACCTGCGAACCGGGAGCTTTATTGCCCTGACCCGCTGAGCAGCTTCTGGGATACCCAAGAGTTTGGCTTCTGTGGGGAATATGGTTGAAAACTGAAACTTAAAGGCATGTTGACGGAAGGGCACCAGTGTCAGTGCTCCGGAGGGAATATAGCTTCAAAGCTGACACTTAAAGGTATATCGACGGTCAGAGACCACAGGAAGTGGAGCTTGCGTCTTAAATCGACTGAATGTGGCAGACGTGAAACGTCTACGGGCCGTATATGAAACGGGTTGTTCCTCTTTCTGGAATAAGTGTTGGAAATGGCCACTCTTTTTGGTGTGGTGTTTTGTCTATTTAATTCCGATAACGGACTCTACTCCTCCGTGCAATCTAGTTACGAGACCCTGGGCAGGTCTGGGTCCAATTTGTGGTAGAGACTGGTTTTGTTCAGCCATGCTTGAGCGAGTAATAACAGGTCTGTGCTGCCCTTTGGTGTCTGGCTTAATGCGCACAACACTGAACACTGTCCCTGAGTAACGATTCTGTGTCCCTGAGTAACGATTCTGTGTCCCTGAGTAACGATTCTGTGGCCCTAAAGTCTCTGTGGCCCTAACTCTGTCCCTTAATACACACAGGTCTGTCTCTCTTGAATGACCGGAGGCTAATGGAGAATTCTAAGATGGCCGCGATTTATAGCTCCACCATTACACAGTGCTGGCTGGCTGCTGATTGACTAATGCGATCACATGTCATGAATGCATTATGGGTCAGCGCGCCTTGTCTGCGCGCCTTCCCAGAGATCCCCGCCCCATCTTCTCTGTCCATTTTCTCCGTCGCCACACATGTCGCCGCCATTTTTGGGAAAATTCAATTCGTGGATCCGAAGTTTGCTAATCTTCGGATTCGTCGCGAATAGAATTTTTCCAAATCTTCGGAACGAATTCCACTTCGTCATGTTCGATTCGCTCATCTCTAATTATTAGCAGGGTTTACCTGAGACCATAAAGTAAGTTCAAGGATTCCTTCATGTTAAAAAAAAGTTGAGAAAGCCTGGATTGATTAGTTGTAGGAAGACACTCCCACTCGGCTCACAGAGTAACCAAAGGACCACAATGCTAGACCAATTTTTAGACCCGTTCCCCACAGTTCAACTACTAGCCAAATAAAAACATTCACTAAGAATTGAGTAGACACCAGTAAGATGTAAGTTGGATTTAGATCTAGGTGACAGTGGGAAGGTGCCCGGTACCTCAATGTTCCACATCCAGTATAAAATGGCTCCTAAGTCCCAAAGGGCCCTTGTGCAGAAAGCTATTTCAAGGGTTCCTCCATGCTAAAAAGGTTTAGAAGGACTGGGTTGACTAGTAGTAAGACCCTGCCACTTGGCTTACAAGAGACCCCAGAGCATGACTAATTTTAGGACCTGCCCATTCAACTACTAGCCAAGTAAAAGCATTCACTGTGTATCGACTGGACGCTATATAGACTAAAGGTGACAATAGGAAGGTGCCCCACACCTGTCTGTCATACATCTAGTATAAAATGGCCCCTAAGTCCCTTTGTGCAGATCCACAGTCTACAACAGCCCTTCTCAACTAGGGTTCCTCCAGAGGTTGCTAGAAGTTCCTTGATCAAGATGC